TAATATTTGGGAGCTACTGTGCTATTGTATGGAATTTTTCAAGTAGAAACCAATGATGAAGCGTAGAGTATCGTAATCAGTTATGATGGTGGATATTCAACGCATTATCAAGACAGACGTGTTTAAGCGGGAACAGTGATTAAATAGAGACGTAGTATTCGTCATTACTATTTACTCCAATAATGTTATAATATATTAATTAAACTGGTAGTTATTTGCTGTGGCTATATACGAAGATATATAGATTTGGATAGCCAATATTTCATTATAAATTAATTATTGCTAAGTAATGTTATGATTAGAATTAAAAGCATTGGTTGCGAATTTGATATTTAATATTTAATGTTTTCTATGTTTGTATTGTTTGTATTGTGTTGTTTATTGTTTAAAAAGACCTATTATTTTAGAAATAAAGATTTACTCATTTGTTAAATTTAAAAGTTTGTAATTCTTTTTGTTCTGTACATTGTTGGACAGACATTAGACCTTCGATCCAAATTGATCGTCTATGACATTCATATTATATATGAATTTTCGTAGGTGACAGTGATGACTATTTCAATTGTAAAGATGATGAATTTGAACGTTTATGGGTAAAGGTTTTCATTGCTAATAATGCTCATATGTATGTTTGTGTTGCTTACTTTCCTGTTCAAGGGAGTAACCATGAGTTAACAGACGAATTATATGCCCAATTACTGTCTGAAATTATGAGAATCGAAGCGGAGGAAGAGGATCCTAAGATATTGATAATGGGAGATTTTAATGCCAGAATTGGCAAAGAAATTCCTGGTGGGGATCGCATTCTTAACTCAAATGGTGAAAGACTCCTCGAATTTAAAGATAATTCTAATTTAACTATTCTTAACTGCACTGAATTTTGTAAGGGTAAAATTACCTGGCGCCGAAATAAACAACAAAGCACAATTGATTATCTGTTATGTTCCAAAGCCTTAACTAATTATGTTAATAACTTACTTATTGACGAGGAAAGAATGTTTAGCTTCGACAGTGATCATTGTGTTTTGTGGCTTACAATAAGCAATCTAGATATAAATAAGCCCATTCCTACTAAGAATAATAAAACAATATGGAATATTGAACCTGACCAGGATTATTCAAGCTATATAAATTTAACTCGAGAGAAATTTGATAACTGGGATGTTAATGAATTTCATACTGTTGACTCAATATGGGAATCTTGGAAGGATAAAGTAATTGAGGCAGCCACTGAAGGAATAGGTCTAAAGATTTCAAACAGCAAACTAAAACCGTGGTTTGATAAAGAAATTGACATCGCCATTAAGGATAGGATAAAAAGCCTCCCGTGAACACCGTAGGTGGATTAAGAGTAATAAAAATGATAATAATAATATTGACAATAATAATAATAATGATAATAATATCAATAATAGGCCTAAAATTAACAGTGGTGTTAACACTGTATTAATAAGAATAGCAGGCATGACATGGATATTCATTGTGATTATGGTGCCATGTTGTGGGAGTCATACAAAGAAAAACAAAAGCAGGTTAAAAAGCTAGTCTCTGAAAAGATTACTCATAAACGTGTTCAAATGTCCATTGATATTTCAAACCAAGGTGGTACATCATGTAAAGATTTTTGGAAAGTTTTAAAGGGTAAAAATTGTAAACATTTGAAAAGTAATCTTCATTGTATTAAAAAACTTGACACAAATGAAATCATTTTGGATGAAGGTTTAATATATTCAACAGTTAAGAAATACTGGGAAAATGTTGGTAAAGCTAACATGGACCTCACTGACAACAATGCCTACTTAACTGCTAGGTTTGTAAATGCTAATTAGAGAGGAGTTTTCAAATGATTTTCCATGAAGTGATGGTACAGATGGTATTTTTTTTTATATAATATTTTTATTTATTATCACATTGTTGAAGATGCAATTTCATTGGCTAAGAATAATAAAGCCCCAGGATTAGATAATATTACAAATGAATTACTTAAAAACGGTGGTGATGCCTTTGTAAAATCAAGTTTTATAAAAAAAAAAAAATAGAGTTTTTTACGGCGATATCTTGTGGCGCACAATAGCGCTTCCATCTATTAATTACGGTTGTCCCGCATGGTGTACCCTAAGTAAACTTGACATAACTAAATTAGAACGCCTACAAACTCAAATGACACGGTATTTACTAAAGACACCAAGAAACACACCATGTGTAAACCTGTATGGCGATTTGGGATGGATACCTATTAAGGATCTACAAACTATTGTCCGTATTAAATACTTCAATAGATTAATTTTAATGGATACGTCTCGTTGGCCCAAGCTGCTTCTACTTGCCATGCTTCAACTGAACTGCGATTTTAAAGAATTACGTTTCCAATTCCTTTCTTGTTTACATGATATTCTTATAAAGTCAGATACAAATAAATTCAATGTCATGCTGAAAAATGAAGAATGCTCTTTCTCAAGTAGAGAGATTTTACAAAAATTTAATGACTTCATAGTCAATGAATGGAAATTGGATGTTCAAAATAAATCGTCCCTTCAAGATTATGCAATTTTACAGCCGCGTCCTAATTTAGAACACTACTTAATTGATAAGACGGATTTTGAGGGAGTTTGCACTGAAGTTTAAACTCGGGTCAATACCCTAACATTAAATGCCAGAACGTCTAACTGGAATGAAAGGAACAATATGAAATGTTTAATTTGTAATTTAAATGCGGATGAAGACATCCGTCATTTTCTCTTTGACTGCCCAGCATTACATAATGTACGTATGGAGGAAAATACTAAATTACAAGTTCATTTGGACTTAATTGGCAACCAAGCTTTATATAATGCTTATCTAAATGAATGTAATAACAATAAACTTAAATACCTTTTGGGCTGCTCAAGTCTTTCCCATAGCAGAGAAATTGAAGGGCCTGGAAATTTCGAAATGAAATAATCAATTCCATACCCTAGTTCATATACCGTTTATTCAAGTACATTGTATATTTTTGTTCTTTTCTGCATTGCTGTTCTTCCAACCTTGGTCATTGCAATCTTTTAGCTTAATGTAAATCAGTTGTTAAGTGAGAGGGTGGATAAACGAAAATTTGGTTTTGTTCTTGTGTGGGTTAGTTGGGGAGGGTTTAGCTTTGTTCATGTTTATTTTTGCTCTAAAGGGAAAGGAATTTAAATGAAAATAGGTTAATTTCTCGTTGGTTGCTTTGGGTGGGGAGTTAAGTAAGGGGTTAATAGGTGGGGTTTATTTTTAATTCCTATTGCTCTTAGTTAAGTTGTGTTTTGTTTTAGTGTTTTTGTATATTTTGTTTTATTTTCTTGGACGCACCTCTCTTTGGAAGAGTGCCACTGATTTAAAAGTGTACGTTCCGAATAAATAAATAAATAAACGTCTGGAGCAGCAGCAGTGAACGTCTAAGACCAAGAGAGTACGTACGCTATAATGAGGGCGTTTCATTGAATCATCATGGCGAATACTAAAAATGACGAGAATAAGTCGGATCAAAAAACTGAAAAGAAACATGAAATAGACCAAGAACCAGAGCTTGTAAGTTACTTTGTGGTTTAAAACGTGTATTTTCTATTAAAAATGATAATTTATCTTCCCATCCGTCGTATTGGTTCAGGATAAACAGAAAGGAAACCTTTGCTTACTTAGGCTAGCCTTGGCTCACTTTCCTTTAGCGGGCCTTTTTTGCATTGTCATCTAGCTAGGCTACCCTAGCTAGGGCCTAGGCTAAACCGAGCGGGTGTAGGCCTAGGCCTAGGTCTATACTGCGCAGCAACAAGATTAAATCAAATGAGGCATGTTGTGGCAAAATGGCTAAGTTGTAGCAAAAATTGAAATTCAAGTTATTAGTATTTTCAGATACCTGAGTATGTGATCTTTAAAATGAGGGGTCATTCATTGAAATTGGACATTTCAAGCCTAATTTATTGGAAAGAGAAATTACAACACTCTTGGAGTCAAGATAAACATGATTTTGAGTAATTGCCTTCCGAAGTTATTTGTGCATACATTGTTTAATAGAATTAACTATCTAAATAACATTGAATAAACAATTTGTTGATCACTTCTAGAACTAATACTTTGGGACATCATTAATAAGACATTAAACTGTTGATCTATATAGGCCTAGTGAAAAAAAATTGGATTTTTAGGCAGTTTTTTGAGCTACCATATTTTATAGCTCCTTTACTCAATACTGGTCTGTGCGACAACTTAACCATTTTGCCACAGTTTGTATTTCCAAGAGATTAAAATTGCGAAAATAGCACTGAATGTCGAAAACTAAAGGCCGAAAACAAGAGGGGGTGTCGAAAACTAGCGTAAAATCGGCAAAAGGATGATTACATTTTACAGGCAGGATGCACTTTAATTTTATGAATTTGTAGTTGAAAGGTATGAGTTACATGTGCATCTGTTAAAATTTAGATTCCTGTAATTGTATTGTCCAAAAGTCCGAAAATGACGATGTTTTTAGTAATGTCGAAAATTAGCGACCTACCCTATAAAAAATTGTTAGATTATCACTCCTGCCTGCAAAAATTTGTTCAACAGCTTAAAGAAACAATGCAATTTCCTAAATGGAAATACATTTTCTTAAAAAAAACAATAAAATTAAACCAGTTTATAAATACACAATATTTACAAAATTCTTGCCAGATATTGTAAAAACAGTCCTGCCCTCATCAATAAAAAAAAAAAGCAAAATTCTATTGTTCCCTTAAAAAAAACAAAAAAACTGCCCGCCCTCATCACAAAAAGAGTGATAATCTGATATTTTTTTCTATGTGCATCTATCTTCAATTTGTCACCATATGCATGCACCATGCGTACAGCCTAGCTAAGCCTGGACACGATATCTTCCTCTTCATGGGTTCTGGTAGGCTATGCGATGACACATCACTCATATCGCAGCCTAGAGTGGCTCAGAATGTATCTAGCCTAGGGTATTTAAACAATCGGGGTACAGTCTTATTAAAAATGCATCAAAAATATCATTACAGAGTCTTTGATATTTTCATATTTTTTATAGGAAAATGAGTTATTTTCAGTTTTGTTTGTATTTTATTAAAATTTGAAACTTTCAAAACATATCACAAAGTTTTTTGAAGGTGGGAATTCCATCTTCTGCATCGGAAATTATCAGGGAACGTCTTCCGAGTGTTTGTTTTTTAGTAATACCCAACCAGGAAAAGCCCCCATGTGACACTGATTTTTTTTCCAATATGGTAAACGCTTTCCTATTCTGGATTTTGACAAGCACTCTCACACGGATGTACTCCTACAGCTATCTTAGGAGATTACCATTTTCTCAAAGACTTCTTCGTTACTAGTCAAATTCAGAAGTTGTGGATTGCATCAAAGAGTATAAATAGAACAAGAGAGCCAACTACTGTATGCTCATTGAAAGCGTAAAAAACGATACGCCATACGCAACTAGTGTAGGACGCCAACTACTGTAATGCTTGTATGTACTTTTTATTACCCAGTACTCCACCGCGCACGGTCGGTTTGTCTGTTTTTCTTTTTCGACAAGATACTCTACTTTTGTTTTTTACTTATTGAGTTCATAGCGGTCACAGCCCATGAAATTAGGAAAAAATTAAGTCAGCAAAAATTTGCCGACCTTAAATTCTCCAAGGTCGGCATCCTCGGCAATTTTTTACTACCAGGCCTATATAGAAACTACAATTTTTCCGAACGCTCGACCTTATTACATCGTCATCTACAGATTGTGATTTTGTTAATTTCTTTATTAAATCGATATATTGCTGGTGAAAGAATGGTCGTACTTGTATTAATTTAATAGTGTAGTATAATACATGTTTTACATAAGAAAATCGCCGAATAAATTTTGTTTTAGAGTTCGTTTTATCGTTATCTTTGGCATGGGAAATATCACTTTCGTAAAAAACTTTGATCGTATCATCACAGGCTGCTACAAAACTGCCCATGCATGTCACATGCCCAGAAGAGTGAATGATCTATCAGGGATTTTCCATACAGTACAGTACTTGTCAGAAGTGAAGTCACGATGCGATCGTGATTGCGTTTAAACGGACAGTAGGATTAGGTAGATACAATATGTTGAATTTCGTTGTTTTTAGATAATAAACAACATTTTAAATATGATAATGATACTGTAAAATGAAGACCAATAATAGATTTAGATAAGCATTACGATCTACAGTACGCGGCCCACTTGGCTTCAAATGTGCAATGTTGTAGGCCTTGTCTGGCTAGCGTCATTCGATTCCTACCTAGGCCTAGCCTACGAAATGACTAGGCGAGAAAGACAAGACAATTGTACACAAATCGTACGTACTGCATGCCTATTAAAAATAGTTAATGTACAAAAAATCTGTTTTATGAACCACCAATTTCCTTGGTTTGACGACGTACATGAAATTTAGTGTCTGCTATAGCCTGTTTTTGACTTTCCAAGCAGTTTTTGAAGCAAAGAAATCTAGGCTTATGTCGGCAAAAAATTGCCGTCCTGTAGCAATTCTGGCTCGGCAATATGGTCGGCAATTGCCGATTGCTGACGTGAAATTCGTGGGCTGCGGGCGTACTTCTATCGTGCTGCACTGGGTAATAAAAAGTACATACAACCTTCAGTGGGCGTCCTATGCAGACGTGACGTTTTTAAAAACAGGAGTACACTCTCTTTTTCTATTTATACTCTTTGAATGCATCTGCTGGAATGCTCTCATTTTTGTGTATACATTTATACAGTCAATAAAGTGCACCCTCTCTAATGAGATTAGTTTTTGTACTTCGCATTGTGCACACTGCTGTCGATCAAGTAGGCCTGAGATACAGTATGTTTGTTTAATTGTCAAAATCTCGGTCAGAATTTTTTTTTTTTAACAAATTTGAAATAATTCCAAGGAAATATTATATTTCACAAGTGTCAATACTAGCAACCAAAAATATCATGTTGGCCTTTTTATGTACATGATAATTTTTCTCAATTTTAAGACATTTTAATTTTGTACTAAATGAACATAAATACTATCTTACTGTACAGCACTTTCAATTTTTTTTGTCAGCTAGCTCTCTCAAATATCTTAGAAACTTCATTGATACAAAATAAAAATTAAACATTAAACACCAAGCAGGGCTACAGTACAATAGTTGTTAAAAATGCAGCTAGCAAAATGAGCTGCTTAACCAGTAAAATATATTGGCCAGTACCAAATCAACATATTACACCTCTGTAATATACACACCTCTAAACTGGCTGTCATCAATTAGATTTAGCCGAGTGTCAACAATTAAGTTAATTTCACACGAGTTGCGATGATGTCAGATTGCCAAAAAGCAAGCTCTGCATAGCAAGCATGTGTGTTTACAACTACAGTACATGCTCGAGTCAGACGCATGCGCACACAACGGTAACTGCAAAAACAGTTTATATCAACACACATGGAAATTCTCTGTCGCTGCAAACTTACCTACTGTAGGCCTAGGCTACAGTAGCCTAGGCGACCTACGTTTTTGGCTTTCTTTTTTTCTTTTACGTGTCAAACGATCTATATTAAGCATCGTGAGGGCATTGAGACCAAGGCTGCAAAAGGGCAGGCAAGTAGTGGCCGTCGTCGTGCTTCATCTGGTTTAGGACCTGTTCGGCCGTGAACAAGTTCGGCTGCGATGTATTTGTATGGAACGCTAAGTAGGCGCAAAGCTGTGTGTGCTGTACGTGCGTGTGTGTGTGGTTAATCTATTTCTGCTACAGTATCCATTATTTCATGTTTTATTGAAGGTCTTAGTTTAGGGTTTAGTAGGCTAGGCCTAAATCATCTGCCAATTGAAGCCTAGGTTGTAACCTATTATTTGTATTCATAGTACATTATGATTGTCATATCTGAAACATTGTTTATTATCTAAAAAATCAAATTAAATATGTATGCATTACTACCGATCAAATCGTCCGTGACTTCTGTCAACAAACACATGTGAGGGAAGCAAATTTTTTTCTGCAGGTAGTTTAGCTTGTAAGGAAGTAAAGCCAACATCTTGTTCCCAGTGCTCAAGATGAAAAAAACGATCGTTTTTCATCAATTATAGGCATTTTAATCGATTTTTATAAATAACAAAATAATTAAATAAAATTTGTATTAGTTTTGTAGTTCAGTTTAGTGTAGTTTTAGTTTAATACTAGGCTAATTACAAGATATTTTGTATAGATATTCCAACTACAGTAGCAATCATTTTTTTTAATTTGCTGGTTTGTGAATGTTTACCTCGCAATTATGACAAACCTACTAGCAAATTGCTAGTTTGCTAGCGTGAATTTCGAGCCCTGCCGAATAAAGGGTAACCTCAGTTTAATGCGCGGACCGGTGAGCTGATTGATTGATCTTTTTTGCTGATTGATTAACATATCTTTTTTTGTATGGGCAGCCATAATGGCCAATATACTCTACTTCCTCTATTATACTGCCCTCATCGGAGCTTTTGAGATTACAAGACCTTGTTATTTTTTAAACTTAATAAACAATTTTGGGAAAAAAAACAAAACTAAAGGCAACACAAAGAAATATTGAAAGGTGCATGTTGGGGATCACCAAATTAGACAGGAAAACTATTAAATGAATTAGGGAATAAACAATAGTTCATGCTGTCATACAAGTAGTTAAAATCATGAAATGGAGATGGGCAAGGCACCTCGCCAGAACAAATGACAACAGATGGACGAAGTTAACAACTGAATGGACTCCCAGAATAGGCACACAAAGTCGAGGAAGACCTAAAATCAGATGGAGGGATGAGATCGTGGGGTTTGCCGGTATTTTCTGGATGAGGGCTGCACAGAACAGACGTGGATGGTTTCAGCTTGGCGAGGCATTCGCCCTGCAGTGCGCCGATAACATCTGAAATGATGATGAATAAACACAGAAAGTTAATCCCAACTGCTTATAAAAATATGTATGTGCTCACCAAAATACCAATGAACCATAAAAAAAGAAACTAAAGAGCGTCATAAATCAGCGTTAAATCATCAAAGCCATGTGTCTAAGCAGACGCGTGTTTTAAAAGTAGCCTACTGTAGGCTAGTTTTAAAAGTAGCCTACTGTATGTAGAATATACCGTAACATGTACATACCGTAAAGTGTGCACTACTGAAATTAGTGCACAGTTTAATAGGATAAATAATATTGGAGTATAATGATGACTTCATGATTGTCTTTGTACTAGATGTACAATCACTATTTAAATAAACTGAATACTTTTAATACTACTTTGTATTTCATCATGAATATATTTCAAATCATATTATGTTTTTCATTATCTAGTCTGAAGAAGATAAGCAGCTGCAAGATGAACTTAATATGCTTGTTGAAAGACTTACAGTAAGTTGCGTTTTAGCAATTGGTCATAATGATGACAACCTACGACGAATATAATATATAGTAGTAGTAATATTTAGTAAAGCATAGTAAATAGTAAATTTATTATTAATAGTTAGCAGACTGCAGCAGCAGTAGCAATAAAAGTAGAAACAATAATGATAAAAGAAATTACAAATCTCAGCACTTTAAAGACTACAGTCAAACTCGCCTAAGTCAAATCTAAAGTGCCACTGAAATATACTGTAGTTCGACTTAGATTAAATTCGACTAAAGCAAAGTGGAATTTGATTCAAGTTGTATCACAATTGCCACTTTACTTGGGAGAGTTAGGCCTTACGGAGACCCGAACAAATTTACACGCACTGACGGTACATGCACGATATTGACCGCAAATTTGGCCTAGTAGTGTAGAATAGGCCTAGACTACCTAAACTTATGTTTAGGTAGCCTAGTACTTGAAAGCAGTATTCTTCAGAGTAGTTAATTGCTTCTATGCCATTCTTTTGAATACATTATAAAGAGGAATCAGTCAACACTTAAATTAACCTTACCTTACCAGGTCGATCTTTGTCGGTTCATAATGAAAGTCCTCCAGGTATCCTTATCATCCATGAAAATATATAGCAATATTTGTTTTATATGACAGGTTATTCCCTATAATTAAATTCCATAAAGACATTTATTTTACAATTCTGTACATGTCTTACAATACAACTTAATTTACTGTATTTAAAAAAGAACTAACAAAACCTGAAACAGTGCTTAAACATTAGTCGCTTGTCAACTTTACTACATGTCTGAACAATAGTCACAGCTTAAAATGATTAAAGTTTCACATCAGCATTTTGACTTTGACCCACGGACTAAAAATTAATGGAAAACAGATCAATTTGGCATGTAAAATATGTTCGACTTTGGTTTTTATTCAACCTACATTTATTCAAGTTAGAGCAAATATAAACCATTGTAAATATACTGTAGGGAAGATGAAGTGACATGAAAATAATTTCGACTTTGACAAATTTTCGACTTAGGCACATTCAACTTTGGCGAGTTTGACTGTGCCTATAATATTTATTAGCTCTACCTTTCGTCTACATAGTCATCATCATCATCACCACCTTGATGTAGTTCACTGTGTGGACGAATGTTAGAGGTAATATTATGATTACCGTAGTGCTGAGATTTGTCATTTCTATTGTTTTATACTATAGCAGGCTAACAGGGCTACACCATTTTTTCATCATGAATAGCGATACAGTATTTGAATTACAATTGATTACATACTGTCCTTGTATATTTACTTAATATGCAAGGATACTCAATTTTTTAAATTAATCTTTTGAGATTAAATTTAAATCTTTCATATCTAAATGTGCAGACAAGTGGTATAACTCTGTGCATTCAGATTTACAAAAATTTTCCCTACTGTATTCTGATATTGTGTATCAACAGAATTGTTGAAATTGCATTTTTGCCTCTGGTTTCTATAAATTTTTCACTTTTGTTGTTGGGAAAGGCTAGGCCAGATGCCAGCACCATTCAAGCACCTGTGAGTCATGTACAGTATGTGCTAACCCGTGGGAACCACTGCTTGTCGATGGTCTAAAATTGCAAATGAACAGTGCGATGGTGTTGGTTCCTCTGTGTGTGCTGTTTCAGTCATTTATTTTAGTTTGGTTTACAGTAGCTTCTTGAATAGATTTTGCTTTTTTGTTTTCTGTACAGCGCATAGAGACCACGTATTATGCGCTATGTAAAGTCTCCAACCATTACCATTATTTTTCATGAAAAGACTTGAATTTGAAGAGTAATACTTTATATTGATGAATTGTTATTGTTTTAACAGGAGTCTGATACAACTCTGTATAAACCAGCATTGGAGCAGTTGCGAGCCTTAATCCGGGCATCAACAAGCTCCATGACATCAGTTCCGAAACCGCTAAAATTCCTACGCCCTCATTACAGCACACTGATTAGCGTTTATGAGAAGATCATTGTACCAGAAAATAAGGTACTGCACTAATGAACACCTACTCTCTCAGCTGCTATTTGATTTCAACCAGTATTTTTCAAATCCCTTTACCTTATCTGTCTCCAAATAACTACAGCTCACTCACTGATGGCGCTGTCCAGAATGTGAACAAAAATAATGAGGGACTAGTGGCAATCTAGTTTGTTGCTACACATTTTGTAATTGTTCTTAAGAAATTTGTAAATAAAGTAGTTTTTGTTCAATACCAAATGTTCATTGATTCAAATGGAGTATGGTAATAGTTTCATCAAGTTAAGTGGCATTAGAGTCTACAGCCCTTCTGCTCTTCTCCCCCACCCCAAACTAAATTTGCATACAGTTAAACTTGCCTTACGTCGACTTTGCCTAACTCGAATAATTTCTAAGTCGATCTTATTTTACATGCCAAATTGTTGTGTTTTCTATTAATTAACAATCTGTAAGTCAAATCATTTTTCAATTATCATTTTGGATTCGACTAATAGGGACGTTTTATATAGACCAGTGCAAATTTATATTGTAAACAGTCCACATGCAGAAGGCCCAGACGTCTGGTTGGCTAACAGGTATGATATTGTGCGGAAAGAAATGCCTGCTGTACAGTAGGTCCAATGCACACCTACGATAGATCTGGTGGCTAAAATGTAGGAATTTAGGATTTATTTTAAATCTTTCGTGCGAAAATAACCAATTTGTTGTCAAGTCAGACTTTTCATAAGTATTGTAAATGCATTACGCATTACATAGTAATGTTACCTATTCTATAAGTGCTTGTCAACAGATAAGTGGGTCCCAAAAATTCTTGTTGCCCAATCGTAAAAAAAACTTGTCCTGGGCATGGGGCAAGTGGGTTTACTCATGCCAATAAGTAAATTTTTTATTTAATAGCTGTGAAGTTGAGCAAATGTAAACAGATGTATCATTTTAGATATTGAATTTAAGTCATGATGCCTGTTTATGTGTACTGAGCAGTGGCAGAAACTAATTCATTGCCTCATATTCTATATCTTATTCTTACAAATTCACATTTATTCAAATAAACGCCTCCCTCGAATAAACCAGAGCCTCATTTGGAATAAAAACCTCCTTCGAATACACGCCCTGGGGGATTTTTCCTCGAATAGACTCAACACAGTCTATTCATTATTGCACTCCAGTAGAATAGCTTTTTTCCTATAAACCTGGTTGGGATTTATCCTTCATGATCTCGCAATAACACATTTTGACGGTAATTATGTGTTGTAGTTGCACATTTAGAGTGAAATTAAGGTTTGTTTGTTTGACTATTATTATACGTATCCATTTTAGATTAAAACTCCTTTCTCGAATTAAATACCTCCCTTGAATAGACAATCCTAAAAAAAACGCTTCTCTGAATAAATATGGTATTTATTAATTGGGGGTGATTTTCACCAACATTAACAACATTTTGAAGTTTTTTATTTCTAAGTAGTCTAAAGTATGCTATGACCAATTACTAAATTTGGACAGTTTTTATGTACATTTTTTTTAATCCCTAGGATCCATAGTACTTTGTTGTTTGTGCCGTTATAGTTGGATGAATGAGTTAATAAAAGTAAAGTAACATATTTGCAATACGTTAAATATTACTTCAATAAAAGTACTGTATCATAATAATGTAGTACTTTTTGCGTTGACTTTTTCATTTGTAGAAATTTTGTGCAGACATTATATCAGTTCTGGGTATGACAATGAGCGACACCAGGGATTGTCTTAAATTCCGTTTACTTGGATCTAAAGAAGAGATTGGATCATGGGGTCATGAATATGTGAGGTAAAGATAGATTTATGCATGTTTTATTACTGTTTATTTATTCTTTCTTTATCCTGAAATGCACTTTCAATACAAATGTACTGATTTCCAATGTGGTTCGGTAAAAGACAAAAGTAAATACAAAATCAAATATTGTTGTACGGTACTGCAACTTTATTGGTTTTAGTTTGATTTTGCATTCATTCAAGTACTGTAATTTGAAGTTCTACAACATTAATAGGCCTGTACCATGCATACTGCATTGATCACGCAAAATGTTTTTTTTTTCTTTTAATTTGCAAGAATTTCAATAATGTATAAATGGAGAAATTCAAATAAACATTATTAATAATATTTTATGTATGTAAGAGTGTGTTGATTATTTTCTTATTGTGTGGTTAAAAGCCGTCGTCACGACAACTGCAAGTAAAAATTTCTCAGGCATCATTCATGGTTGTTTTCCATGATACACCAGTTCTCAGCCACACGCTGACAGGACTGTTGTATGAAGTTATTTTGGGGAGGGGGTGGGGGTATGTTTGTACCTGTTTGCCGATCTTAATCAATTCTATTACTAACTTCAATTGTATTTTTTTTTTTCCGGAGGATACAAAAAAACTAATTCAAATTGCATGGGAAAACCTCTAGAAAAATAGATGCACAGAATCGTAAATATGTGTTCCTACTATCAAGGTCTCAATTTTCTGAAAAATATCCATGGAAATCAGCTCATATTTTTAAAATCCGCTGACGGATTTGTGGGCCTAATACTTTACGCGGGGAATATTTTACAGCCCGACACATCTTCATTTATTGCAAAATAAATAAAATTGCTAACCTCTCAACAAAAGACAAGGAGTGTAGGCCTATCTCTGAGCATGGGCCAAGGGGATGAATCCCTTCTAGAGAATCTCTGAGGCAGCAAAATATTTTGAGACGGGAAAATTATTCATTTATAGGCCCTAAACCCTTAATTTTTTACTCCACTTTTACAAGATTTTGATTTTATATGCACAATCTCCATCACATAGAAATGAATAATTTTTTAACAACTTTAAATACCAATTTAACTACCCTTTCTTAGTCTGTCTAGATTGCCTTTCCCACATGCGCAAACGAAATAGACTAGGCCTTTTTTGAAGTCGACCTAATGGCTGCTGTCCATATTCGTACTTGAAAGTACTGTAATTACTAGTCTTGAAGTCTCTTGTCTTGTACTGTGAAAGCATTACACATTATATGGTGAAGTAGCCTATTCTAAAAGTGCTTGTCCACGGACAAGTGGTCCCTACAATTCTTGTTGTCCCACCGTAAAAAAACACTTGTCCCTGGCGTCGGGCAAGTGTGTTCGCTCATGCCTGCTATTACTTTAATTGTCATCAGGTAATGTCACTGTGCCATTTCTTTCAATCCCACAGAAACAATTTGATTGCTGCTGTGATATAATCATTGACACTTCCAGATTGAATGATATTGTAATCTATGTTTTTTTTCATAGCGCAGCTTGCATTTTGAGTTATAACACATCTGCTTTTCTTTTGATTCCAGATACCTTGCTGGTGAAATTGGTCAAGCATGGAATGAGCTAGAGGATGAAAAAAAGTCAAATGAGCATCGAGAGAAACTACTAAACTTGACAAACGAAATAATACCATACCACATGAACCACAATGCTGAAGCCGAAGCATGTGATCTGCTCATGGAAATTGACAGGCTGGACATGCTAGAATCATTTGTGGACAAGGATGCTTTCAGTCGTGTTTGCTTATACCTTACCAGGTACTGTAGGTCAAAATTAGTAGTAAATGCATTTAGTATTTGATGATTGTTCTGTATTTAATGTAATTTTATTAAAAGTTTATTTAAAAGTTGTGATCAAAAGGGCTTATTTATTAATCAGCTCCCTGGAGATGGAAAGGTAACCCTCACAGGTTGTTTTTTTGTTTTGTTTATATTATATTATTTTGATATTATCATATTTATTTCAATTTATCGTATTGCTTTTCTGACTTTGGCCAGTAGCCCCTGCTGCACCAGTCACGACTCGACCTTTGTGGATGCGACTCAACATCTGCTGGCGTAACGCCAACTCCATTAAGCCACATACAAACACGTTTAAACAGTGCATAAAAACTGCCAAACGATATCGTGCTACGACCGGTCCAACAGTTTTCCAAAACAATCAATAATTTTTCTGGTGTTTGCTGGAAGGTGTGCACTGCAAAACCTTTGACTGTGGCCTGGTTTTTTTGTTTTTGCAGCTCTTTTTTGTTTTTTTTTATGTCTCCTTTCCAAATTTTTTTCTATTTTATTCAATAAAATTGAATAAAGAAATTGTTTAAAATTTACTTTAGAACTTTAGAATTAATCGCGGTTTCAAACCCTCGCTGTGCCTTTAGCTTGTGTTTTTGAGCAAGGCACTTCATCTGCATTGCTTCTCTCCACCCAGGAGTATAAAATTGAATACCTGGTGGGGTTGCCTGTTCCTGCGGTAATGCAGCAGCAACACTTGAAGCATGTGGACCAGGGAAAGAAGTTTTTTGTATCTGCAAAGAAATGAAAGGTGCTATATAAATAACAAATAAATAAATTATAATAAGTAAATTTAGCATACTCAGTTACATAGTATCCCATTTTTAAGATTACAAATCTTGTTCGCACTCGTTACATAGATGCTCTCAACTACATTTGTGATGACGTCACCAGTGCATCACTTCATCTAAGTTTAGAAAGAGGCCACTGTAATTCATATGGTTAGAATGTTTCCTAGATAAGTTCTTCATTGGTATGCTGCTAAACTTGGATGGAGCACTCCAACTCTTTCACAAATCTAGTTAATAATGATATTGGAATTAACTTTTTATCTTTTCATTAATTTCATTTTTGTTAATTTCTTATGACTTTTTTTATATACACTCTTCTATTAGATGATATTTTTTAGACCCCATTGGAAATAAGTCCTCTTGGACTTTTCATGGTTTGTCTAGGCATCCCCATCATTCTGTTCGAAAGGTGTATATAAGGAAAACAATAAATATGTGAGGCCTCACCACAAAATGAGTCTCATGGTTAGAATATCAAAAATTGATTTTATATTATATTTGGGTAGATCACATTATAAGCTTTAATTTGGTCTTTGAATGGCTTCACTAGAGAATGTAGATCCAGAGATGTGAGCATTTAAATATTATGTGTAAGAGGACCACATTTTGAGAAAATCGGCCTCCAAGATAAAATAACCTGTACAAATAATAGGACTAGACACAGAATATGTGCTGAGAACACTGTTTTAGTAAGAAAATTCACTTAAAAAGTATACAATTATTTAATATAAATATCAAGTTATTCAAAAACATTAAAATCAAAATTGTGTAAAATTTTGACTTTGAACTATTTTGGTGATTATCTCAAAATAATTTCACCAACGATGCGTCTCATTTTGTGGTGAGACCTCACATATACACAATTTTTACTAATGATAATATTTTATTGCTATTGTTAACTTCTAGCTTCGGGCCTTTTTATCTATCTCGATATAAATTGATGTTTTTGATGTTTGTAATGTTTTTCTTTTAAACAATGCCGAATAAATTCAATTCAACGAAGCATCAATTAAACAAACAAGGTGTATTATCAAAGGCACTGTGCATGTTAATGATGAAAAATGTGAGTTTTAAGTAATTATTAAAATGAAGAACAGTTTTTAATGTGTACAGGGAGTGAATTCCAAATTGTAGGTGCTGCAAAAGAAAAATATTTATGGTCAATAGTTTTGAAGGATGTGTGGGGAGTGCAGAGGAAAAAAAATTTCAGATGATCTTGGGGTGCATCCAGGAACATATTGATGGGTAAGCTGATTGTAGATAGTTAGTTTAAACAGAAGTACTTTAAAAGTAGTAGCAAGATCTTGAGCTTAATGCGTCAATCAATGAGAAGCCAGTGAAGGTCTAGGAGAACAGTGGTGATGTGAGAGAGACTATTTGTGAATGTTATAAGTTCATACAGCAGAGTTCTGTTAAAGCATCTGGAGTCTGAATTTGAGATTTGGGAAGTGCGCAAAAAAAGAGAATTACAGTAATCAAGACAGGATGAGGAAAGAGATGAATAATGGAAAAAGTGTCAAGAAGGAAAACATTGATTCAGTGCAACATTTGTTTCATTAAGTTTTAGAAAATCGTTTGTGAGCCAAAAGTGGATGTCTTTAAAAGAACTTTCAAGATGTTCAGCAGTAAAGTAGAAGTTTGGATCAAATGGCGTAAAGTTGAATATCATTTTTTAACAGTGGAGCTACCAGTATGTATAAGAGAAAAAAGGAGGAGGCTGAATTCTTGAAGAACACCACATTCACTGATTTTAGGAGTGGACCTAACACCATTAATTTCAATTAATTGAGAGTGGTTATTGAGGTATGAAGTGAACCAGTTTAAAGCAAGATTGGAGATGCCAATCCAAAAATGAAGATGATCAATAAGTTTTTGGTGATCAACGGTGTCAAAAGCAGCCAATAAGTCCAGCATCACAAGCGCAACTGCTTGCTTTTGATTCATGGCAACTGTGATAAAGAGCATCTATGTAATGAATGTGCATGAGATTTGTAATTTCAAAGATTAGATATTATGTAACTGAGTATGGTAAGTCAGTCCTAATAACAATGATGATGGTACCAATAATAGTAATATACAAATAGTAACTACAAAATTTTAAGCTTGCACCATTTTTATATTAAAGTAGTTATGTTTTTTCGTTTCAGTTGTGTTAACTATGTTCCTGAACCAGAGGATTCAGCATTGCTCCACACGGCTCTTGGAATCTTCCGTAAATTTGACCGTTATCCAGAAGCCCTGCGTCTTGCTATTCGTCTTAACGATATGAAACTTATTGAAGAAATATTCACAACATGCAAAGATGGGTAGGTTATTTGTTTCGTTTGACAGGGTAGTCCAGCATCAAATTTTAATTGCATAAACTTGAACCTCTTGTAAGCAACCACCATCAGGTCCAGAAAGTGCTGTTAGCTTGAATGTGGAGGTGGTCACTTATGAGAGCAACCAAGGAAGGCACAAACTACTAGGATTGAAATGTATTTTTTAATTATTTCATTCCTTTCAGGTATACAAACATTAAAAACTATATTGAAGTGGAGAGACAAATGCGGTTAAAGGGCTTTTTACTCTAACTTCCATACTTCCATACACAATGCAATATAGAGATAACTTTAAAATCTATAGTTGCACACACTGAATGTAATAATGATACATCAAAAGAGACTCATTAATACCCAATAATTCAAATCTAAGAATATATACCTGTAATCAAGGGCTCAGCCAGCGAGTTGTCCGGCCGTCCAACAATTATTTATGACGGTCTTTTTAACCATGACAGCTTGGACGGCTTGGCCTACTCAGCTCGGCCTAGCCTAGTTTTGCGTGATCTACCTTTAGCAATTTCTTTATACCTTCTTCGAATCAATCGAATGTTGCATTAAACTATACTGTAGCTACAGTATATCATATTATGTTGAAGATTAAACCACCTTTATTAATACTACGTTGATTTCATACATTCGCTGGAGATTCTCAAATAGGTTAAGGCTAAACTATTGTCTACCTGGTGAAAATTTAACTTAAAACATGTGTATGGTGTGTTAAAAACATATACCCTGCTGAAAAATGGACGGTTCTAAGACGCCCACAATGCATGTACATCACAAGTTAAATTTTAATATTGAACAAAATACAGTAGGCCAAGGCCTATACATCTCTTGATTTGGAGGACCTAGAGTAGGGAGAGATGAAGGTGCATCTGCATAGCCTAGAAAATAATTTGAGTATCTATTACTGAAATATCTTTGTGATAGGTAATTCAACACTATTTCTTTGAAGACAAAATTTCAAACACTTTTTAAATGCATTCTAAAAGTAGATTTTGATGCACATCTTAGTACACACCTATTTTTTACCACTGATTCAATTTTCTTTTTCGTTTCATTAGCCATACGAACCAAATTCGGATTCGGTGTGAATCTACCTTGAAGGTTATAATTTTCTATTTTTTTCTTACGTAGGGAAGAGGACAGCACCTCCCAAACCCCCACCCCCACTCGGGCTTGTGCCCCTCGGCTGTTGCTAAACGACAAGTTTTTCGTCTTACATTTTGGACTGCCTATTTCTTTTTTCTGGTAACCCCTGCCTGTATTTCAAAATTATGTTGAATTAGTATAAGAATATGAAGAAAAATTAAATTACATCAACCAAATATTATTGCACAACATTAAATAAATGGATTAATCCAAAAAGAAAACCTTATCTAATCCCCCAACACTAGTCTCCAAGCAACCAATGAAATTTTCCAACCACCCCAAATTCAAAAAATAGCTGTCAAATTCCATTTACTATAGTATGAATATATAATAACAAAAATAATCATGACATTTTTCACAATTGTATATTTATATTTTTATTTATTTTTGTATTACTGTATTTTTAATGTTTATAATGCCAAATAAAATGAAATGAAATGAAATACTTAGGAAAATTCCCTAACCTGACTATAGAAATAAAAGAGAATCAATAAGGCAACATTTTTTTAAATAATTACTGTAATCCCACATCACAACATGCATTAATTGGCATAAATTTCAGTAAACACGAAGTACAACAGATAAATGGGTATAGGTGTAATTTTTGCCCTACCTGACGTGGAAATGTACCGAATACTCAGTACATTTGAAAACAACTGTGAAAAAAATCGCAAGTTCTCGGGTGGGACTCGAACCCACGATCTCCAGATCACTAGCCTGGAATCATACCTCTAGACCACCGAGCTTGCGTCTGATGGCCAGGGTTGAATTCGAGTCCAAGTAAGCAGAGGGTACTGCAGTGTTGATAGTAATTGTTATTGTCATGATGGAATAATAAACAATAACTGGATTTGCGTCAGGAGAAACATGTATAG